TGGCTAAGCACTCGGCTCCGGGCCAAACCGGACTGGTTCTGTCCCCTTCCACCCCCGTCAAGTCACAACATTGTCTGGCCAGCAGTGTTGTTATTTGATGGAGGTGGGGGTGGGCAGAGCTAGTCCCTAGTAGGGCACCCGCACGCCTTGGGAGTAGCAATGCTCATGGCCCAGCTTCCTCTCTACCTGTGTGGTGCACTGCCAGTCCATGCTGGGGTGGGCATGGATGGCATGCTGCCAGTCCATACTCCACTAGCTTGCTTCTCAGAGGTCATGTGTTTGATAGGATCAGAATAGTGGTTGAGTGTACCCTTGGATATTATGTACATAGTGAAGAGATATAAGAGATTGTAGAGGAACATAGTAATGCAGATTGTACATAGTATTGAGATACATTTCTAGGCAGAAGGTAGAATGTCTTGCAATCCGAAAAGTGAATGAAAGTCTGCTCTGTAGAAATAATTATCATGGAGAACTTGCACACATGTGTTATGCTCATAGAGAAGGCTAGCAAGTCCAGACCTGCATATTCCGAAAATCTCTGGCGTCAGCTACTTGATGCACTTCTAGGTATATACACATGAAGCCCTTAATACTCCTGGACGCTACCTAGTGGAAGAAATAACCCTTCTCAGCTCATACACCACCTTCAAAAGACCGTCTCCCCCTACTATCATCTCTCCACCACATCCCAGCTCTGCCTTCTCCCAATGTACGGTATGATATCGGTACCCATGTCAGTACCCACAACGTTCTCTCTCTGCCCCTCCTTTCAAACTCGCGATCAATCTCCCGAGCTCTCCGCCTCTCGTCCGCTTAACTCCCCTGCTCCGTCACACCACTCCCGCCTTCCCCCGTATCAGCTCCGCCAGCACTTGCGCCAGTACCACCGGCGGAATCGTCGTTTCCGCCATCGACGGGAGGCACGCGCGCGGAGTCATCGTCTTCCCCTCGCCGTCCCGACCACGAGGAAGCGCCGGTGAGAATATTCCAGGCCCACCACACCATACCGATGCCTACCGCTACCACCACTGCCGGCTGCACGCCGCCTCGCTCTTTCCGCCCTGTCATGACCTCTTCAACTCCGAGCATGCAACACCAACGAAGGAACTGCACAGACTGTGGCTCGTTGACTTGTGTTGCTACGCCGATTGATTTCAGAATCGGATGGGAGGACTTAGTGGAAGGAACAAGCTGAACTGCTGAATCCTGAAAATATGTTGTTACGAGAGATCGAGATGTGGAATTCGAGTGGCATTTGTGCAAAAGGACCAGGAGTGGCATTTGTGTTCTCGTTTCTGCCGATTTCTCAGTTTTATTTCTCGAAAAAGACAATCTTGTGTCCAAGTCTCTGATCGCTTGTAGCGAAGATCCAGACGAGCCTAGATGCCGTTCGCTCGCTGACGACGTCAGCTTGGGAGTTGCGTGCGGCCGCCGTCAGGCAATCTTGTGCCAGACGGAGCAAAAGGGTGACATTCCGTGGAAAACAGGTTTTATTTACATCAATGAATTTGAAATAGTTGGATCGGATGTATGATATGTTCAATGTACCACATTTCCTAATCATAAATAATTGGATGTTTCCGTAATGTGTTTTTTAGAACCTACAACAAAACGTACAAATTTAGGGTTCAGGGTTTAGGGTTTAGGGTTTAGGATCGCTAGGATGGTGACCTGTACCTCCGAGCGGGCCCTTTCGTACAGAGTCTTGAGTCGGCACGAGGATCGCGACAGGGGGACCCGCTCGGCCCTTTTCTTTTCGCTTTCACGCAGCAGCAGGTGCTGGGGACGGTGACTAGAGAGTTCAGGGACCTACTTTTCTTGAGCTATGCAGACGATACCTACATCCTGGGACCAGCGGCTAGGATTCTGGAGGCTTTTGGGGTGCTGCGGGAGAGGTTGGAGTGGGTGGGGCTGGAAGTGCAGGCGCACAAGTGCAGGTTTTGGGAGCGTGGAGGTGGGGATATGGAGCGGGCATTGCCTTTGGGGATGCAGCGGGAGGAGGAGGGTCTCACTGTGGTGGGCGTGCCTATTGGGGAGGAGGATTGGGAGGGGGCCCGATTACGGAAGCGGCTTCGCGAGTTGCAGGCGCCATTGCCGTGGCTCCCCCTGCTCGACCACCCCCAGATGGCCTCGCATCTCCTCGCTATTGCAGTTTCAGCACGGCCGATGTACCTGGCCCGGACTATGCCGCCGCGGGTAGGGTGAATACCCCAAGTGCGATCAGCAATCACCAGAAGGTAAATGGCACACATAAGGGTAGAGAGGGCGAAGGGATGGGTACAGAACGGTGGGGTGGGGTTAGCTGTAGGAAGTCTGCTGCAGATGCTGATGTTGCAGTGCGGTTGAGACATATGGAAACGGTTAGCAAGGAGTTGAGATAATTCCATGGATGTTCAAGTAGTTCATGATGTACTTAGTGGAAGTTAATTTTTGCTGTTGTGCCGTATCTCTAAGCAGTGTAATTCACTGCGTGGGTGTAGCATGGTACCTACAAGGAGGTGTATTTCGGACTCTTGGGCATTTCACACAAACGGGCTCATAACGAACTGATCGATTTGCTCGTCCTGGCGTGGCTTGGGCAAACCCACGTGGCGGGGCCCACACCAAATCTGCACATTAGCAAAATGACGAAGACTTTCACGCTCGCCACATTCCACAGAAGACTTTCGCGAACCACGTCGCCACTCAGCTCGAGCATGACCAACTTCAGCACAGATTGGCGAAACCCGTTCTACAAATGCTAAAATTTTGACGACAAAGTTACCTTTGAGCTCGCCAGTTCGCGAGAAGGGAGTTGGGCTTGCCCTTGGGATTTTGATCCTACAGCTCCTCCGTTCCCTCTCTCTAGCGTTGCTTCCTGTCAGACAGAATTCAGTCATATCTCTTCATTCCCTCCAACTCTCTGCCTGTAACCCTTCCCTAGGATCATCGGGGATCTCCAGTGGACCTCTGACACCCCCCCGCACTAGGATGCCCGAAGTGCACACACCTTGGAATCGAACCCGAGACCTTCGCTCTGATACCATGTCAGAATCCCAGCCACTAACCACTGGGATAAAAGGGCTTGTTTGTGTAGCGGGTGAGTGCGCCCATAACCCCCCAGGCCAACATGCCTGTAACCCTTCCCTAGGATCATCGGGGATCTCTAGTGGACCTCTGACAAGGGGGAATGGGGTGCGAGATGGGACGTCTGGTAGGGGATCCTGGTTGGGTTTTTTCTTTATGGAGTATTTTTATGGGGCTTTTTATGGGTGTTGCGTTTGAGTTGTTTCTGGTGTCTTTCTTTCCCTTTTCCTTCTCCCTCTTTCCCTTTTCCTCTTTCTATCCATACGCGATATTGGTTGTACGTTCGAGGATGTTCGATGCATAGCGGGTTTTATGTTTGCAAATATGATACAATCAACGTAAAAAAAAACGTACAAATTTATTGTTGGGAAAAATATGTCAATGGTAACAAACATGGGGCACTTTAACGAGTACGGTAACGATTTCAACGCGTTTGGTAACTCGCTTAACACGTTTGGTAACTCACATAACACGTTTGGTCACTCGCGTAACACATTTGGTAACTCTACACTAGCAGCCCATCACGCGAATGGTAACTACATGAAATTCCCGCCGAAATTGAGCCTGATTCTGGTTTTTCCCGCTCGCGTCAGAAAAATTTGACGAATTCTGAAGCAGGAACCTCTGACACACTCTCCGAAATTCTGACACTGTTTTCCGAAATTCTGACACACTCTCCGAAATCCTGACACACTTTCCGATTTTCAAAATTATTGCAAAAACAGAAATGCTGTGAAAATATCTGTTCATACATAATTAAAATTCTGGCGCTCCTTCCGCAAACTTTAGTACTTTTTTTCTATCGTGCAGCCGGGGCAAACAAATCTATACTCCTTTCAAATGGCAGATAAGTCTGAGAGAAACAAACTTAAACTTCTTGCGACCAGGCGTTTATGGTTCTTTATTTGAAATACGAAACATTTGATTTTCAAGAGGAGTGTTTTTCCCACGTGCAAAAATTCTCCAACGTTGCATTAATTATAAACGGTAAAATTCCCAAGGTCCTTTTGGATTTTTTTTATCGTTTTGCAAGTTCGCAATCATGCTATAAAATTTTATAATTTAACCATTTTTGTACGAGCTCATATATATATAAAATGGCCCTAAATCTTTGTGGTCTGTGGTATTAGAACAAACGGGGTCCTTCAAATTCGCGGCGAGACTTGTTCAAATGGATAATACTGTGCGTAAAAGTTTTCCGACTCGATAAATTCCTCTTTTTCAGGCTCATTTCGGCGGGAATTTCATTTAGTTACCATTCGCGTGATGGGCTGCTAGTGTAGAGTTACCAAATGTGTTAAGCGAGTGACTAAACGTGTTAAGCAAGTTACCAAACGCGTTGAGATCGTTACCGTACGCGTTACAGTGCCCCATGTTTGTTACCATTGACATATTTTCCCTTTATTGTTCTGAACCTATGCCTGCCCTTCGGCTTGAGCCTGTCAGGGTGTCAGCACGGAAACCCCGTGAATCCCGATGCTCACCATCTGCCTGCGTGTTGGAATTGGTGGGATGCTTGAGGCAAACCCGTGACGACCGTCAGAGCTGGTTGGGGGGAATGCCTCAGCTGCCTCAAACGGTAGAGCGTCAACGTAAACGGTTCTTCTGAACCTGTTCCAGTTGACGTAAAGGCTCGTCGTGGACTTCGGTTTGGTACAGTATCAGTATCGAGATTCCCATCCCACGCAGTACACCATCGGGTATGTCAGCCAACAGCCACTTTCGCATACTGTACTGTGCCAGCTTTTGATTCCCTTCTTCCCGCTCTGGCTGTGGCACCTATCGGGTTCGTCATCCGCGTCCAGCACTGTGAAGCAAGACTTGTGCAAACTCAAAATATGCTGCTCTGTGATTCTCTGATTGCCTTATTCTCTTAGCTCCAGACCAGAGCCCATACACTACCCAGCTTCTGCCATTCATCGTAGTGCACATTAGTCGTCTTTCTTTTTGGGGGAAAATCTCTTGACAGAAGCGGCTTGTGATATGTGGAACGAGCGCGGGGGTGCCGCGCTGGATTGCCGCTGTGCGCCGTCGTCGTCGCCGTCGTCGTCGTCGTCGTCTTCGCCGTCGCCGTCGTCGTCGTCTTCGCCGTCGTCGTCGTCGTCATCGTCGTCGCTCGTGCGTTTTCACGGAAGGTCGAGCAGACGCCACACGTCCCCTCGTGGCTCGCTCCCAGTCACGTTCAACCACTCCTCCGTCGCCGACTCACGCTGCAACAGCAGCAGCATGCCGTTGAGGGACCCAGGAGAAGCCTTCCATTCCGCTGCTAGCGCTAACTACGCTCTCCCGGTCGTCGCCTCGTCCGCCTCCTCCTTCTCCACTCATTCTTTCGCTACTCCTAGAATCGACTCTCCATCTGCCAAAATGCTTTAAAACGTCGTTCCGACTCACCACCACCTGTCAGTCACATTCTCAGTTGAACTACCGCGCCGCGTGCAGCGTCCCTTCGTCCTGTGTGAAGCAGGGATATGGCGACCAGTCTCTCTTGAACCGCTTAAACTCTCTTCGTCGCTGAATGTATTTCCTCCATTACCGTTCTCGTTCAGGAATCTCTTTCCACCGATCCTGCTCGTCGCTTTCAGCGGATCATTATTCTCACTTCTGCTATTCCGTCAGAATCCCTTCTCTTTCGAACCGACGCGCATCAAGTAGTTCCTCTATCCGCCTCTCGCAATCTACCATCTGCATCTGAATCGCTGGAATCTGAATCTGCACTTAAATCTTTGGAAATCTGCATCTGAGTCCCGGAAGCTGCCGGACTACCTCCGTGCCTGCTTCTCCTCTCCGTAACGCGTGTTTCTCGTTCGTTTCGGCATTCTGATTGTGTGGTCGTCGCGGACTTGCTCTGTTTGCGGATTCGACTTCCAGTGATCGCTTCGGCTATTCGCTTCGCCGCCGAGCAGTGAGTGACGACTGTCGCTTGCACTTGATACCCCTGTCGCATCTCACTGCATCTCACCGCGTTTCGCCGCATCTCACCGCAGCTCACCGCATCTCACCGTCTCGATTAACAGTAGCCGCTCGTACATAAAGTTACTCCGGCGTCGACCAGTTCTGTGCCCCTTCTTCAAGAAGTGCTAGTAGCCTGCTGCTGGTGCTTTTCCTCTTGCTCTGCATGCATCGTATCATCCTTCATTGCAACGTCACTCCTCTTAACTATCCTGCCCCCTCCTCCTTTCTCCTCCTTTCTCCGCCTGTGCCCTCGTACCCTCCCCCTCCCCCCCCTCCTCTTCTTCTTCCCTTACGCTCGCTCTCCCTTTTTTCCCCCCTCGCTCTCCCCCTGTTCTTCTCTTTTCCCCTTCTCCAACTTCCCTCCCATTTCCCCCCGTCCCCCATTTCCCTCCCCTTTCCCCCCTTCCCCCACCTCCTTCCCCCTCCCCCTCTTCCTCCCCTTTCCTTCCCTTTCCCAGTGGCGATACCATCGGACGAGACGGTGGTGGTGCGCAAGGGGCAGGGGCCGCGGGAGGCGTCAGAGATAACGGTGAATTGCCCGGACAAGGTGGGGCTGGGCTGCGACCTCACGCGTATCATGTTCGAGTTCGGGCTCAACGTCGTCAAGGGTGGTGAGTGGTGCCGCGCGGTGGCAGGGCGGTGCTGCGTGGTGCGTGGGGCTGTGGGAGCGGTGGAGAGAGGTGTGGGAGGGACGGCATGGCGATTCTGTGGGGATGGGAGGGAGGGGGGAGGCTGTGTGAGTGAACGGTGAATGTTGGTGTGCAACGTACAGATGGCAAGTCTCCTGTCGATCAGGGTTTTGAGAAATTTCAAATATTCCGGACGGAGATAATTTATTTTCAGGCGCAGCCATGTTCGAATCAATCACAGTCCGCGTCTATTCGTCTCCACACCCTATCTCACTCCTCGCTCTCACTCTTCACAGCCCGTTGACCGCCCCTCCCTCTCTCTCTCCTCTCCTCTTCCTAACCCTTCCTTCTCGTTTCCTTCCTCTCCCTTCCACACACTCTCGTCCATCCGTCCCCGGCTTGCCCGCCGCACCCACCTACCCACTCACCCACGCGTGTAGACCTATCAACGGACGGCCGGTGGTGCTTCGTGGTGTTCTGGGTGGTACCGCGCACGCGCACAGGCAAGCCCATCAAGTGGTCTCTCCTCAAACACCGCCTCCTCGCCGCCTGCCCTTCCTCCGAACCCGTCTTCTTCTCCCGCCCCTCCCACTCCGCCTCCTCCTCCTCCTCCTCCTCCTGCTGATCACTCTTACGGGCTTCCCTCCTATGGTATCACCTCGTCTACTGCTTACCGCAACCCCTTCTTCTCCTCCTCCTCCTCCTCCTCCTCCTCCTCCTCCTCCTCCTCCTCCTCCTCCTCCTCCTCCTCCTCCTCCTCCTCCTCCTCCTCCTCCTCCTCCTCCTCCTCCTCCTCCTCCTCCTCTTCGTCCTCTGGCCTTGCGTCGCCGTTAGCTGGTGGGGGGCCCGGGCGGGTGAATAAGGCAGCTGTGCGGGTGTTCCTGCTGCAGGTGCAGGCATCGGACAGATGCGGGCTGTTGAATGGTTAGTGCTGCGCTGCTCTCGCCCTGCTGTCTGTGCTCACCCTGGTTCTTGTTGCGTGATGGAAATCACTTTTTAATTGCCTCCCCTGCACTGCTGCTGCTGCAACCTTTTCACTGGCCCCTTCCATACGCTGTCCCGTTCCTTCTATTTCTCCCGCCCTGCACCAGCCACTCCCCACCCCTCCTCCCCCCCTTCTCCCGCACCCCACCCACACTTTCCCCTGCTCATCACCAAACTCCCCTCATATCTCCTCTTCCCACCCTACCTTTCGCCTCCCTTCCCCACTTTCCCTCCCCTTTCTCCGTCCACCTCCCTTCCCCATGCTGCTGCTGCAACCTTTTCACTGCCCCCTTCTTCACGCATGCATTGTTGGTGCGTGGATGGTGCATGCATGGTGCATGGATGGTACATGCATGGTGCATTCGTGGTGCATGCATGGTGCATTGATGGTGCATTGAGGGTGCTTGCGTGGTGCATTGATGGTGTTTTGATGGTGCATGCATGGTGCATTGATGGTGTTTTGATGGTGCATGTATGGTGCATGCATGTTGCATTGACGGCGCTTGTATGGTGCATGAGTCTTGCCTTGGTGGTGCATGCGTGCATGGTGCATGCGAGCAGACATGACACAGCTGCTGTGGGAGTTGGAGCTCACCATCCACCGCGTGAATGTCTCCACCAGCCCCGACGGCCAGGCCATTGACTTCTTCTTCATCACTGACAACCGGTGAGCGTCCCAGGCTGCATGGCTGGCTGGTTGGGTGGGTGGGTGGGTGGGTGGGGTGTGTGTGTGCCTAGCCGCATGGGTGGGTGGGGTGGGTGTGTGCCAGCCCCGACGGCCAGGCCATTGACTTCTTCTTCATCACAGACAACTGCTGAGCGCGCCTGGGTGTGTGGCTGGGTGGTTGAGTGGGGTGGCTGGGTGGGTGGGTGTGTGGGTGGATGGGTGAGTGGATAAGTGCATGCGTGCATGGGTTGGTGGGTTGGGGCGTAAATGGATGGGTGGGTTGAGCCTGTTGCTAAATCCCCTTCCCTCCACTCCCCAAAACCCCCTCTCCCCCCCGTCCCCCGTCCCCCGGGCAGCAAGGAGCTGCCCGCAAAGCACCGGTCAGACCAGATCATAGACCGAGTGAGGGACGCGCTCTCCCTCTCAGGCCACAGCAGTGGCGGCGCTAAGGGCCTGCTCGGCTCTTGCAGTACCTCTGGTGCCACAGGCGCAGCAGCAGGGGCAGCAGGAGCAGGTACAGCAGGGTATGGCGGGGATAGGCTGACAGGGGCAGCAGCAGGAGGTGCGGGAGGGAAGGGTGGGAGGAATGGTGGTAGCAGCGGGAGCGCTGCTGGCGCTGCTGGTGCTGCTGGTGTGAGTAGTGGCAGGGACGGTGGCAGGGATAGCAGCAGGGAGGGCGACGGTGAGACAGTGGTTTGTTCCATATCACCCACTACAGGCCCTGACGCAGCAGACATAGCGGATCTGAGCCTGGGCGTGTCTGAGTGTGTGCCGTACGCTGTGGAGAAATTCCTTCTCGCTGAGTTCAGCACGCCGCCTAACAGCCCCCCTGGGACCTCGATATCCAGTGCTGCAGGTGCTTCTGCTGCTGCTGCTGCTGCTGGTGCCAGCGGGACCAGTGGTGCTTCTGGCGCTGCTGGTGTTGCTGTCGCTGTCGCTGCTGCTGCTGGTTCTGGTTCTGCTGGTGTTGGCTCTGTTGCTGGTGTTGGTGCTGGTGCTGGTGTTGGTGCTGGTGCTGGTGGTGCTGCTGTGGCTGCCGTGAATGGGTTGGCGGGGGCGGGTGTAGGTGCGAGCAGGGGCATGGGCGTGGGTGCGGCTGGTGGAAGGGGGAGATCCCAGTTGTCCTTTGAAATGGCCTCGGTTTCATCAGCAGCAGCAGCCGCTCCGCTGTCGCGTTTCTCAGGAGCAGCAGCAGCAGCAGCAGCGGCAGCAGGCACGGGGGGCTTCCAAACAAGCTCACCCTCCCCAGCATCATTCTCATCAACAGCACCAGCACCAGGGCTGGCAGCAGCACCAGCGGCAGCAGCAGCGGCAGGAGCAGGCACAGGGGTGGAGATAGATTCGTCTGATCTGGCCTTCTCGCCTGTGTTCTCTGAAGGTCTGGGCCCCTCCCAGCCCCCTCCGTCCGTGGCACGGGTCACTGTGGACAATGGCATGTCGCCTGCACACTCCATGCTGCAGGTATGCTGCTGCTGGTACTGATGGGAGGGGGGAGAGGAGGGGAGGGAGCGGGAAGGGAAGGGAGGGGATGGGACGGGAGGGGAGGGGGTGAAGGGAGTGGGTGGGAGAGGAGGCGAGGGGAAGGGATGGGATGGGAGGCGAGGGGAAGGGATGGGATGGGAGGCGAGGGGAAGGGATGGGATGGGAGGCCTAAGCAGTGCACTGCTGGCGTCAATAGTGTAACTCTATGTGTGTGTGTGTGTCTCGAATTTTGAGTCAGGTTAAATCGGTTTGACATTTGATGTTCCGGTTCGAAATGATACGAAGTTTGACACAAGAGCTGTCTCTTCCTTCTCCCACTCCTTGTCACTCCCTGTCACTACCTATCGCACTCTTTCTCTCCTTCCCTCACTCCCTCTCCACTTTCCCTCTCACTCCTTACCTCCTCCCCTTCATCACTCCCTCTCTGACTCCCTCCCCCACTCCCCCATTCCCGTGTGCATATCCAGTTAAAGGATCGCAAGGGCCTCGTGTATGACTGCCTGCGCACTCTCCGAGACGCCTCATTCCTTACCTCCTTCCCGTCAACACTTTCTTTCTCACTCCCTCCCCCATTCCCTTGTGCAGATCCAGCTGAAGGATCGCAAGGGCCTCGTATATGATTGCTTGCGCACACTCCGTGACCTCAACATGCAGGTGAGTGCTTCAATACCAGTGGGCGAGGTGGTCCCATGGAGGGGGATTTCTGACGGGGAGAGGGGAGCGTCGGGGGGACGGGGAGGGAATGCCTGGTTGTGTAAGACTTTTTGTGCTTCTGAAACTCCCACTCTTGCATCATCCTGGCCCTCCCCCTCCTCCTGTTTTCCAACCCCCTCCTCCACTTTCTCCCCTCCCACTCTCCCTTTTATTCCCCTCCCCCTTCTACTCTCCTTCCCTTTTCCCCTGCCCCTGGCTTCCAGGTGTCGTACGGGCGCATAGCAACAACGGACGATGGCATGGATCTGAGTTCCCTCAAAAGCCCTTTCCGTCCTCCTTCTAAACTCCCACTCGCGCACCTCTCCATCCCCTTCTGCCCAGTTTGCCCTCCGCTTGCCCTCCGTCTCCCCCTACTTTCGAGTCCTCTCCCCTCCTCCCCTCCTCCCTTCCTTGGTCTCCAGCTTCCAGGTGTCGTATGGGCGCATAGCCACAACGGACGATGGCATGTGCCTTTTGGACATGTTTGTGGTGGACAGCAGTGGCAGGAAGGTGGAGGGGGCGGCGCAGCAGGCAACTCTTGAGCAACTCTCTTCTCCTTCTGAACTCCCACTCTCGAACCTCTCTACCTCTTTTCCCCAATTTGCCCTCCTCTTGCCCTCCACCCCTCCCCCTCCCTTCCCCTCCCCTCCCCTCCCCTCCCCTCCCCTCCCCTCCCCTCCTTTCCCATGGCCCCTGGCTTGCAGGTGTCGTATGGGCGCATAGCCACAACGGACGATGGCATGTGCCTGTTGGACATGTTTGTGGTGGACAGCAGTGGCAGGAAGGTGGAGGGGGCAGCAGAGCAGGCTCGGATCTGTGCTCGGCTCACAGCAGAGCTTGAACGGCCTCTGCGCATTGTGGTGGTGACTAGAGGAGGGAAGGGGAGTGTGGTGGGGTCTGTGGAAGGAGGGGTGGTGAAGGAGCGAGGGAGCGGTGATGCTGGTGCTGCTGGGAGGATGGGAGTGGGGATGGGGATGGGGATGGGGATGGGGATGGGGATGGGTTTGGGGATGGGGTTTGCGGGGATGGTGGGGATGGGACGGAGTGTGTCTCCTGCTGCAGTGCCATCAGCAGCAGCAGCAGGAGGAGGAGGTGGGAGGGCAGGCAGAGCAGGGTCAGCAACAACAGGCACAACAGGGGGAGCAGGGGGAGCGGCAGGGGCGGCGGGATCTGCAGCAGGGGGGTTCTTATCCCCTTCGTCTGCATCCTCGTTAAGAGCAGGCTCAGCAGCAGTGACAGCGACAGTATCAGCGGATGAGGCAGCGGAGGCAGAGCTTCTGGTGGCAACGCCGGTGGAGTGCTGTGGGCGGGGCAGGCCGCGTGTGCTGTTTGACATGACTCTCGCTCTCAGGCAGATCAACGTGCAGGTCTTCAAGGTGAGGGGTTTTGGGGGGGCTTAGGGTTATGACTTTTGAGGCACCTCGAAACCAGCGCTGAGTGCTGCGGGCGGGGCAGGCCTCGTGTGCTGTTTGACATGACTCTGGCTCTCAGGCAGATCAACGCGCAGGTCTTTAGGGTGGGGGATGGGGGCTTTTGAGGCGCCTCAAAGGTTGGTGGCTTAGGGTTACGAGTTCTTGAGTGCCTTAATAAAGAAAGCGGTTTGACATGACTTACGCTCCCATTACCTCACCATTACTCAGGTTTCAGGTTCAGAGGCAAAAACTCACCATTACCTCTCTCCTCCCACCCTCCCAACCCCCCCCCCCCCACGTGTCACCCCCCCTTCCTCACATCACCGCCCTGCCACATCACTCCACCCTCACATCACCACCCTGTGACGCCACCACCGTAAACCCGAAACCCTACACGAGCAGGCGGACATAGCACGGCATGAGATGGGCGGGCGCACATGGGAGGTGTACCGGCTGATTCTGCAGGACAGGGGCGGGCAGCCCATCTCCAAGCTCAAGACCCGCCTCTACATCGCGGACCAAGTCAGGAACGTGCTCATGGGGTGAAGGCCACAGGGTGATGCGCGGTGGGGTGATGGGCCGTGGGGTGGTGGGCGGTGGGGTGGTGGGCGGTGGGGTGACGTGTCTATAATGGGTTGATTTCTCGATGAGGTTGATCACTCGAATGCGCATGAGCAGTCACCAGCAGTGGTGGATGACAGCAGCAGCAGCAGCAGCAGCAGGCAGTAGCAGCAGCAGCAGCTGGCAGTAGCAGCAGCAGCAGCTGGCAGTAGCAGCAGCAGCAGCTGGCAGTAGCAGCAGCAGCAGCTGGCAGTGGCAGACAGCAACAGACAGCAACAGACAGCATACAGCAGATAGCAGACAGCAAACAGCAGCATGCAGGAGCAGACAGCAGCAGCAGTCGCTTCCTGCTGTAATGCCATTAACCTTGCCGTGTCATGGCATGCAGGCGTTTCTGCCATATGTACACAGGAAGGTTCGCAGACGAGATGCTTTGAAGCTTGGTTCCGATCAACTCGCACTCTGATCCACCTATTGTTCTCCTGGCCCTGTGCATCCCCACCCCCTTTCTCTTCTCCCACCCTTGTGACCACCTCTCCCTGTGGCTTCTCACTCCTCTGCCCCATGGATCTCTCCCTTCCACTGCCCGATACCTCTATCCCTCCCACCGTTACACGCTGTCCTCGTGCTTCAACCGTACCGTATGCCCTCTTTGCTCCTGGCCCCTATGCAATCTCCCTGCATCTCCCAGCCTTTCATGTTCAGTGTGTGCTAGTCTCTTATACGGTTCTCCTTCACTTGTGACAAAGGGAAAGCGATAACCTTGATTTTTCATTCGCTGAATACACATAAACCAAATTAATTTTGCCCCCCTAACATCTCGTACAGTGCTATATTTCCATTCTTGTAACCTTTTATATGCTGCAAATTCTTGTAATCCAGACTAGATAGCTTTGGGTGTGGTGTGCAGACTGAGGCGGTAAGTAGCGACACTGCATTTCATTGTGGCACTGTACAGGTATGGAAGGGCTCAAGCTACCCGTCTAGGGATTTGGGGTTTAGAAGGATAAGGACCGTATTTTGTGAATGTAATACACGTACAACAATATTGGAGAACTCGCGTCCGAAATCTAGTGCTAATGGTCTGTACTCTGAACGTAAACTTGCATTGAGGCTTCACTCTCGTAAGGACGCGGCACATCTAAGGACACTGCCAGGATCGAGGGGGGACAGGGCTTCAGATTCGTTTTGGGCCACCCTTAGTAATCAGGGTTCTAGAGATAGTCAACCCTGATGTGTAGGGTAAAAATTTTGTTTCCCTGACAAAAGCAGGGTAAAAAAAAAGTTAGTCTGTTTGGCCAGGGTATTAAAAAAATATTAATGACATGAACAGTTTTAAATTATCGAGGCTTAGTACTTAGTAGCTCAGTTAGTTCGATTACAGGTAAGAAGGGAGAGATCGAAAGTTCGAGTCTCGCTGTCGGGAGTATTCTGCAGGGGCCTGTGTAGAGTTTCGTCTCGCTACGGAGCAAATTGGTTGCAGTATAACTAGGATTGCACAGTATACGGCCAGGGAAATAAGTTCTATACGCTGTTTTTCAAAGGGTGCAAAAAAACTTACACTTTCTGGGCTAGGGTAAAAAATCCGCTACCCAGCCTGTGAAAGGGTAACTGGAAAAAAGCGGCCGCCAGTCAGTGCAAAAAGGGTATTTTACCCTGATAACGAGAGGCCTGAAGGGGGATCGTGTCAGAATGATATGTTTGTCAAGCCTGCAGTGGGGTACTCTATAGCGAGTACAGCCCGAATTAGGGTTTGCTATATGTACTCAACTGCCTGCTAGTGAAAACTCCTCTTTGCTGTTTCTCGTTTTCGCCTGCTATCTTGACATGCTATCAGAGCAGGTCGACCCTCCTGGGTCGATCCTGTGGGTGGTCCCGCCCGATGCTTCCGCTGCTGTCTTGTGTGTCGCGCGCCCCGTGGCGCGCGACGCTTTTTCTTCCCGCCATGCGCTCGGGGCGCCTGGCTGTTTTCTGCTCGCCATGCGCACGAATCGCGAGGCGGTTTTCTGCCCGCCGTGCGTCCCGAGGCGCGCGGCGGTTTCCTCTCCCGTCGACCCGCGCGTCGCCCCCCGTCGACCGTCGAAGCCCCCCCCGTCGCCCGTCGACGCGCCCCTGGGCCCCGCGCGGGCCGCGCGCGGCCCGTACGACCTGCGCCAGGCCCGCGCGCGGCCCGTACGGCCTGCGCCAGGCCCGCGCGCGGCCCGTACGGGCTGCGCCAGGCCCGCGCGCGGCCCGTACGGGCTGCGCCAGGCCCGCGCGCGGCCCGGGCAGCCCGCGCGCGGTTCGTTCGGCCTGCGTACGCCGTCCCCCGAGCTGCTGACCGCGCCCCACCCCTGCTGCTGCCCGCGCTCCTGTTTTAGGGTTTGGGGGTGGAGAGTATGGGGGTGCCGTGTGTGTGAGCCGTCCCCTGCTCCTCCTCCTCCTCCGTCTCCCACTGCTGCAGCTGCCGCTGAGGGGGGTGGATGTGTTGGAGCCGTCGGAGTTGTACGAGGGGGGTGGCGTGTGAGCAGTGCTAGAGGTGCAGCAGGGGGTGTGTGACACGGGTGTGGGACAGCTGGGGGAAGTTGAGTGGAGGCAGTCGTCTTGTCGTCCGCAGCGCCTGAAGTCCAGAGAGCCACGACCCCCTGTGGCCTGAGTAGTCTGGGGCTCTGCGCCCGGTAGCCACTGTGTGACACTCCTGGCAGTCCAGAGAGCCACGACCCCCTGTGGCCTGAGTAGTCCGGGGCTCTGCGCCCGGTAGCCACTGTCAGAATAACTGAACGAGGAATGGATGAACTAGCAGGAAGGTGGGTACAAGTATGAAACCCTAAGTTTGTGTACCCTCTAAGGCTAGACCCACTATAGCCTACACAATATAAACATACAATGTTTGACACACCCCCATAGGCGAAGTGGGAGACAACCAGAGGGTCACAAGACCAGTCAAAGCAAAGCAAAGCAAAGCAAAACAGGCTCAGGGTGGATCTCAAGGATACCACACAAATTCCGAGCACAAGCAAGCGGTCACAAGACCAGTTCACATGCAGTTTGATAATGTAGCAAGACATACAGTGATCACAACCTAGCAAGTGTAAACATGCAAGTATATATATATAGAGATCACAGTACAAACAGAGTCAAGAAGTAAGCAAGTGAGGTCCAGCAGGCACAAGGCCTAGAAGAGTACAGAAACGCTGATGGTCACAAGGCTGAAGCGCCTTGGTGAACACATCAGCAAGGTTGGCCTCAGTGGCCACGTAACGCAGACGTAGCTGACCACGCTGCTGCAGCTCTCGAGCAAGGAAGTACCGCAGGGCAATGTGCTTCGTTCTGTGCTCCAGTCTGTGCTCCTCACACAAGGCAATGGCAGCCTGGTTGTCGACGTACAGCACTGGAGGAGAACGAGGCCGCTCTCCCAGGTCGGTCAGCAGGTAGGTCAGCCAGCGTAGCTCCTGGGCAGCCATGGCTGTGGCGTAGATCTCAGCCTCACAACTGGAGCTGAGAACAGAAGAAGAGCGTGTAGAACGCCAAGAAACTGAGCCGGAGCCAAGGCTGAAGGTGTAACCCTGAGATGACCGCTGAGTAGCCTGGTCGTCCGCCCAAGAAGCGTCTGAGTGTCCAGTAAGTACAACTCGGTCTCGCCCTCCAAGCACTAGCCCCATGCCCGACGTACTGCACAAGTAGCGCAACACCCTCTTAGCGGCATCCATGTGCTCCTTCCTGTGACGGCCAGGAGCGACATAGCGTGCAAGGATGCTAAGAGGTTATGCAAGGTCAGGTCGAGTGCAGGTCATCAGGTACATGAGGCAGCCCACAAGCTCTGGATACGGGCCACTCGGCTCTACGGACTCATCCGAAGGCAGAGCTGAGAGCGAGTGACCGGTAGGCAGAGGAGTGGACTGAGGCGAGGAGTACGTGAAGCGGAAGCGCTGAAGGATCTGCTGCACCATGTGTGACTGAGTCAAGGTGATGGTGCACCGTGCTCTGTCCCGGGTGATCCGCAAGCCAAGATAGCTTGTCAGTTCACCCAGGTCTGTGCACGTGTGTCTCCTCTGCAGCTCCGACTTCATGTGGGCGAGTGCCGCGGTGTCAGCAGTGGCAAAGACCAAGTCGTCGACGTACACGAGGATGTAGAACGGCGGCAGCGAGGTGTCTGTGCGTAGAAACAGTGACGGGTCAGCAGTAGAGGGAGCGAACCCAAGAGCCGCAAGTGTCATCCTCAGTGTGTCGTGCCACTCACGCGGTGCCTGGCGGAGACCGTAGACCGGCCGCTGGAGCCTCCACTGGGTACCAGGAGGAACCGACCCAGTGAAGCCAGGAGGGCGGCGTAGCCAGATCTCCTCGTGCAGGCTGCCCTGCAAGAAAGCAGTGCTGAAGTCAAGTGAGTGAAGCTCGTAGTCGCGCTGAGCGGCTATGTGCAGCAGCACCCGAAGAGTGGTCATCTTCGGGGTGGGGGAGAAGGTCTGGAAGAAGTCAACTCCCTCTCGCTGACTGAAGCCTCGAGCCACATAGCGCGCCTTGAAGACAGGAGGAGAACCCGGTGGCCGCTTCACCCTGAAAATCCACATGCCACTGACGATGTTCGCCCCAGGTGGGGGAACCTCGTCGACATAGGTGCGTGTGGACTTCCAGGAAGCCATCTCTGCGTCCATGGCTGTCTGCCACTGAGAGGAGTAGGGACCCGCCATCGCCTCGGCGTAGGTGCGCGGGGTCGGGATGTCTGGTGCATCCGGGTCTCCCTCAGGGGCAACTAGCATGGACACGAGATGGGGCAAAGCAGCAGCAAAGCACTGGAACTCCTCCTGTCTGTCCTCAAGGACGTCCGTGCCAAGAGCACACACACCCCCGACGGACGGAGGACAGACAGACTCAGACTCGGACTCAGCAACAAGGCTAGTGGCGTAGTCTAGACGACACCGGGCAGCAAAGTCTACCAACTCAGCGACCAGAGCAGACGCAGCAGAGGACTCAAAGGTAGGGTCAGTGACAACAGTAGCGAGAAGACG